CAAAGAACAAGGCACCAGGAATTGATGGAATAAAAAATGAAATCTTTCAAGAAAGTGAGACGGTCCAGGAGGAACTCACTCATCTCTGCCAAGAAATATGGAAGCAACTATCTGATTGACTGATTTTAAGAGATCCGTATTTGTGCCCATTCCAAAGACAGGTGACCCAATGGAATGCGGAAATCATCGGACAATTATCTTTGATATCCCATGTGAATAAAGTTTTACTAAAGGTTGTTGGGTAGAATTTTTAAATTAAAGGCTTTTCTTTTAAAATAAATAATCTTACTTGATTTGACCCCAAAACCTTAAGAGAATTAGAACAGATTTATAGGAAACCTAGTCAAAAACAATGAAAATACCTTCTCTAGAATAAGCAAGTTGTTCACTGGTAAGTCATCAAGGCAAGCAATCAGTTTCCCTCAGGACAAACCCATCTCTAAGACTGAAACTCAATGGGAACACATGAGCAGTCTTGTAAGCTTGTTGATTACCACATTGGTCTACTACTGAATGTAAGAGGAGGAAAGGCAGCAATGAAGAAATGGGCTGAGTTCAACCATGTTCCACAGACTTCTGTTGACCTGGAGATGAGAGAGAGAAGAGGAAGGACTGGTTGGTCCAAAGTGTGGTGAGACCTGGGGACACCTGAGCCCGTGGACAAGGACATAGTCACAGAGGGCTAGTGCTGAGAGTGAAGCATCCAGCTGATATTAAGTGAGAGTAGGTGCACAAGAACACCCAAACTTGTAGACAGTACCCATTTGCCCTAGCTTCAATAGCTTGATAAGCAGAACTCGACTAGAGGAAGATTAAAAAAAGAAGAAGAAAAAGAAAATTTTTAAGGAAATGAGGGTAAATTGCTATAATTTGATCAACTTGACCTATATTCATGGAGGTAGTAATTCTAAATATCAACAGAAAGGGAAGGAGTCTTCACATCATGTATCAATGCTATCCCCTCTGTATACAGGGTTGATAGAGAAGGGCAACTTAGATAGGGAAGGGCTACCTAAAATGTGGGGGCGATAAAGGCACGAAATGACTGGCTTATAAGCTTTCAAGAGAGAGTTTAGTTTAAGAATGTGTGAGGGAACATAGAGTCCCCACTGAATAGTTTTCATCTTGTTTAGATGGGTCTAGTTAAAAGAGATGGGGATAAGATTCTTATGATTCAATCGTGAGTAATTGCTATCATGACTAATTGTGACTGTCACAATTGTAAAGGTAGAAGTTTTGTAACAAAAACGAGGGAGTAGTTAATCTTACAGTCCAGAAACAAAGGGCCCTAGGACCATCAAGGGAGAAGAGCACAAGCGTAATGTGGGACCTTATCCAGAGAAGCAGCAACACCAGAGATGGAGGCAGAGATGGGGATATGGAGACAGGGAGCAGCTGAGGACTCTAGATTCATGGGAAGGGAGGGACTGAGAGCTGGTGGCCAGGAGGCAGACTTGCAGAATGTGCCCTTTGGTGATATAAATTATTATATATGCCTGAGTGTTAAAAAAAAAAAAGAGCTAAAATGAATAAAGAGAAATACTGTTAACTGATGGATGATACACACGGGGGGTGGGGGGATTATAAGAAAAACAAAAATCAGTGAAGACAAATGTTTCATAATTTATGATCTTTTGTGGACTCAATGAGCATGTTTTGAATTATTTTTAATATTATTACAAAATGCAATATAGAAAGAGCATGGGCCTTTATTTAATCAGGCAACCTGAGTTGAAATACTGATTCTAAAGCAGAGCAAAGCAAAGTATTTAGCAACCCAGTGAATCATTTTAAGATGTTAAAGTTTTCTTTCCACTCCATATGTTGTTTTGAAAATCCCACCCAAAAAAAATTGTGAAAGGCTTCCTAGTGTAATATTCAACACACAGTAAAAGTTCATTGTTATTAGATTTGCTTCTGTTATCTGGAATAGCAATTGTTGTTGAAGGATAATGCTAACTTTAGGAAAATGGTTGAGGTCTGTGTAACATGTGTACCTATTGTGACGGAACTGTGCTTCTGAGCAGAAGGATGTTATTACTTTGATGGATATAATCTTCCTCCTCCACTTATGTCCCCAAATAAAAAAATCAGAATCTAGCAAACATATTTGATGAATTAAGGCACTGCCACTGTTCTGTTAAGTGATGATACAACAGAGCCAACTGAAGGAGGAATGTAGGATCAGTATAAACACTTATGTGATTTTCTTTTATTTTCAGTGTACTTAAATGAAGCAGGGTTCAACTTTGTAAGAAAATGCATTCAAGCTGTGGAAACAAGAGGTTAGTGTTGTCTGGTATATCATGATTGTATTTCCAATTTCAGTGTTATACTCTAGACTTATAAAGTGAGCATATATTTAGCCAGAAATATAAGATTAATTTCAAGAATAATCAAAATTATAAAACCTACAACTGCCATCATTGTATAAATAAATAAATAACTATACTTTGAACTTTAATTTTCCAAAAATCATACTATATTTAGACTTCCTGATTTTTCATTATTTTTCCCTAAAAATCACCTCTTTGCTTATTAATAATAAATGTCTGCTATTTAATATTTAATTTCTTTTAAGTACCAGGGAGGTAAGTAAGATTTTTAAGGAATTTGTCCCTCTGCTTCCTTCTTTTCATATATCATTTCTTTAGTGACATCAGCCACTCCCACAATTCTTGCCTCTTCCCTTACTCTAGACACAACCTCTCTCTTGATGCCCATTCCAATGGCCTGTTAGATTCTTTTACTTCTAGAGAAACTGTCTGAAGGAAAACTTATATTTGATTTTGAGGTTCTACTCTTGTTGCTGCTTTTTTGAAATTTTGAGAAGGTAGGCAAGTTCCTTAAATTCTCTGATTATGTTTCTTCACCTTTATAATGAAGATATAAATGCCACAAGGTTGTTGTAAAGATTAAAGGAGACAATTTTGTTAAAGCATGCAGCCTAGTATATGAGCAATACTGGGTATTCATAAGGAAGTCATTTCTCATTGAGATTAAGAACCTGAATTTGGAGACTGACAGCTCTGGTGAGATCCAGCCAGGCTCACAAGCCCTGGGCAGAGGTTTAGCTCCTCAGAGAACCTGCTTCAGCATGTATGTCTCCATGACTCTGAAGAACTAGAAGGTGAAGAATAATGAGCATCATTCCTCATCTTTGATGCTTTTTTATATTCAAATAAATGAGCATAGGGAAGTGTACTTTGCTACTTTGAAGATCTTCAAAGTACAGGGTCTGATCTGAGGAATATATATCTTATGGGTGTTTCCTAGATAAGTTTGCTGAAGTCAGACTGCAAAATTGGATAAGAAGCTTTCAAATTCTGTGTGGGCACATGTCTGAGTTTTTAACATTCTGTGCTTGGAAAACTATGTCTCAAAGTCATTTTCTTGCGATTTCTCTTGCCATTAGGCATCACCATTTTAGGCCTCTACCGAATAGGAGGAGTGAACTCCAAAGTCCAGAAACTCATGAACACCACATTTTGTAAGTTTTGAATGAATCTGGTTACTTCATTAATCTTACAGAGGATTCAAACGACACATTTTTTGGAAATATAGACCATTCTTTGTCCTTGAGTATTTCCTGGTAACATTTTAAATTGATGTTTATACTTGTATTCTATTTTAAATGTTTCTACTGGACTCATGGTGTGGTACTATAGGATCAGCACTAGACAGCGAACCACAAGATCAGCTGTGCAAACTCACTAGCTGCTCCACAGAAACCCTATACAGCATCTCTATGAGTCGGAATCAACTTGACAGCACTTAACAACACCATTGATGAACAAGGTGTGGTGCTGTTGAATAAGCACTGTACTACTTACCATAAAATTAGTGGTTCATACCCATCAGCCACTCCTCAGAAACCCTATACGGTGTCACTATGAGTCTGAATCAACTTGACAGCACTTTACAACTACATAGATGAACAAGTGGAATTTGATATGGACAGTTTTTTAAATGTCAGACTTTGTCTCAAATGCCCTTTGATTAGATTGTTGATATTGTTAAGTTGGTTCCAACTCATAGTGAATCATAGGGGGAGCAGAAAGCCTCATCTTTCTCCCAGAGAGTGGCTGTTGGCCTTGAACCTCTGACTTTGTGGTTCACCATTCAGTGCTAATCCTACAGAACCACAACACATCCAGAATTAGATAGAAGTCTGATACACTATAGTAAAATATGAATATGGATGCTGGAGTCATGTTCCATGGTTGGGAATCCCAGCTTGGCCATTGAAAAACTTTGTGATGTTGGATAATTTGCTCAACCTCATTGTACCTCAATCTCATGTATAAAATGGGGATAACAATAACACCTGTCTCATTAAAGTTCTGAGGTTTTGGGTGTATCAATTCATGTAAATGACTTAGAAGCTTACATGACATACTTTAAAAATCAGCCACAATTTGACTTGGTGGACTATCATTCCCAAGACCTCTTTGAGGTAGAGTGTCAGAGTAAGTTTTACACCAACCCACAGAAACAACAATCCTAAAGTTAGATCTATTAGTATCCTAAATGGTAAATGCCATCCTCTTTTAACACACACGGGTTTGCTTCCAGTTTTTTAATGACTTGAGTGATATTTGGGATTGCACATTTTAAACTTGTTTTTTGCTTTTCTTTCCAGCTCCAAAATCCCCTCCAGATATTGATATTGATATTGAGCTATGGGACAATAAGACAATCACAAGTGGACTGAAAAACTACCTCAGGTAAGAATGATTTAGCTCCAGTATTCCAGACGTGGGTTCTCACACACTTCCTTAAGCAGCAACCACATGACATCATGAGGTCTGTGGACACAATCTTCACTCTTTAGCTCAGTTCATCTACCTATTGTGAACTAGCACAAGGTGGTAACCTTTATGTTTAATGCTCTGGACTTTGAACGTTGTGTTTCCAACAGTAACCTGAAAAAAGCTCCAATATTTTATGAATACTGAATAATATCCTCTATTTCTCATTATTAACTTTGTACAGATTTTTCATGTATTTCCTTAAAATAGCAAGTTGAATTTTAAGCCGTTTTGTTGTTTATGTTTTCCACCCACAACTGAAAGGGGTTTAACTTTGTCATGTAATAGTTTTCACAAAGAGAAAATATTGTCTCTGAATCTTTCCTTTTTCATACAAGAAGTACTCATTGGCACTGTTGTCTTTAGGAACTTTAAGGTTTTAGGCCTACCTGGAGCATTCTAATGAGGACTTTATCGTACGATCTACTGTAATCACCCAGCTCTTACAAAGGCTGTGAGTGTTCAAGAAACAAGAAATATTGCCATTTTAAATCTGCTTCCTTCTGCTGTTCCAGGTGTCTCGCTGAACCACTGATGACTTACAAGTTGCACAAAGACTTCATTATTGCTGTTAGTAAGTACACTTGCGATGGAAGCACCATAATTGCTTTAGTTTTATGCTGCATGACTTAGACATACCGCTTTAAACCAGTTTGTTAAGATTTTCCTATATGCTGCTTAAAAAATGGTCATGGTAACCCCTAACAGTATAGTTTATCTAAATAGCACATAACCAATAGCAGAATGGTGTAAAATATCACATAATAAGACCATATAAGTATTTACTATCTTTGTGTAAATAGTATCAATCATGAAGGCCAGTGATTTATGACAGGCATCTTTTGTCTTACTGAATATGTATATTTGGTAAAGCAGTCTGTAAAAAAACCCACAATCTTTACAGCATTAGGGTGACTCTAGTGTGATTAGGAACAGTTCCAATGAATTGTTCTAATTGCATTTTACTTGTTGGCAAGTATCAGTTTCTTTCAATAGCAACTCTGTGATTAAACAGACAAGACTACATATAGATAAAAGCAGTCAAGTATGCTACCAGCATATAGATGTTCACACGCTGTGTTCCTAAGTCTGGAGAGAAGAGTCAGCTACGTATTTTCAGCAGATACAAGAGGCACTTTCATCACGTGACTGCTGTAATGTGTTATAAATAGATGAGTTTAATATCTTAAAAACTGGAATGGGAGAGGGGACAGAGAAGCTGTGATAAATACATAACAGAAGAAGTTAGAAATACAAACTCTAAAACATTGAGACTGAAGTGCCAGACCATCATTTGATACCATCATACCAACTTAGAACAATTAGGAGTTGGCATTTCATTGTTAAGATGTATGAGGTATGACTATGACAAGAGTATTGTCCATAATCCATAAATTATTAGTTTGGAGTCCTAGTGTGGTGCTGTAAGATAAACACTCAACAATAATAAGGTTGATTTGAACTGTAAGATCAGAAGTTCAAACTCACCAGCCACTCCTCAGAAACCCTCTACAGGGTCACTATGAGTCGAAACCAACTCAATGGCATTGAACATGAACAACATATTAGTTTATTGGCACACATTGTAATGCCACAGGAAATGTCTGCTGATAAGTGTCACATAAAGTTAGATGACCTTGGGTTACATGACTAACCACATGGTCTTGTAAACATCTAACTACTCATCTTCCTACTTAAGGTTCTCTACTACACATTCTGTTCAAAGAAATTTATCTTTGTAAAGTGGACAGGACTGCAAGAAATAGATCATATGCCCTCTAATTTTGTCTACTAGGAAATCTAGACCCAGAATGGGCAAGTGACTTGTCTAAATCAAACCCAACTCAGTTCTGACTGCTAATGACCCTGAAGGACAAAACAGAACTGCTCTCTAGGGTTTCCAAGAGTCTGTGTCTTTACAGGAGCCAGCAGACTCATCTTTCTACCCAGGAGAGTCTGGGGGCTTTGAATAGCTGACCTTAAGGTTAGCAGCCAAACACTTCACCCATTACAAATTATTACAAGAGCCCTTGACTTGTCTTTAAAAGAAAAAACAACCCACCTCCATCAAGTCATTGCTAACTCCTAGCAACACTATACGGGCTTTCTGAGACTGTCTTTACAGCCTCATCTTTCTCTCAAGGAGCAGCTGGTAGGTTTGAACCAGCTAGCAGCTCAATCCCTAACTCACAGCACTACCAGGGATCCTTTGATTTGTCTAAAGACAGAAGTAAATTCATGGTGATACCAAGACTATAAATCAGACTTTTGGACTATTAATCCAGAACTCTTAAAGAAAAAAAAAAAATTCTTTTTAATGGCATTTGAGCCGATTAGTTATAATGAGTCAGTTAACTGGGGGTTTTGATATTCTGTAGTCACCAGTTTTTTCTCCATTTACGTCTGTGTCTATGGTTATCATATTATTCATTACCATGATATTTAAAATGATCCTATCTCACATTAACAATTTCCAATTTTTTGTCTGGATCGAAGACCTACTTTTGAAATGCAAATTAACTAAGGTTTATTTTAGAAGGAGTAGCTCTGGTAGCATAGTGGTTACGAATCAGGCTGCGAACCTTAAGGTCAGCGGTTCGAAGCTACCAGCCGCTCCGCAGGAGAAAGATGAGGCTTTCTACTCCTGTAAAGATTTACACCCTCGGAAACCCTGTACAGGGTCGCTATGGGTCGGAACCGACTCGACGGCACTCAACAACAACAACAATAAATCCATCTCAGTAGAAATGAGAAGTTATTGAAAGGTAGGTAGGTAGGTATCTAGAGAAAGAAAAAGGAAGAAAAGAAAAAAGAAAGAGGCAATTTTTTTAAAGATTAAAAGAGGTGTCTAATAGCATTTCTTGGCAGGGAATGGGTCAGACTTTCTAAGAGCTCTGACCACGAATTGTCACATTGGGATGAAGTTTCTCTCTTTGTTCATTTTTGAGGGCCTCTCATCTCTAATCTTTTCTGTGTATATGCCTTATTTTTGGCTTTCTTTTCAGTCATGTATTCTTATCTTTGGGCACATTTGATTATGCCAACCCTGGATATACATGATGCGCCTTTTCAGTATCCAGAAGACTGTTCAGAGTTTTTATTTCTCCATTTTCAATCCTGGGTGAATTTGTGTTTGGCCTAATCTGAGTCAGCGTCTCATCGCTAAATATGGGGTTAAAATCTGCTGAGCCCTCTCTATCTTTGAATCTGTTAAATAAGGAGATGCTTCCTGTTTCATGGGGTCACTAGGAGATTTCAGTAAGGCAATGCACATTATGTGCCTGGCACTAGACACTCAATGACAATTGCTGCAGTCACTCACATTTCTAAAGATTTGATTGTGCACTCAACAAGCTGGTAATGAGTTGCTTCTATGTTCAGAATGCAGGTCTGGAGTAATCATGAACAAATTACTCAAGGTCTTGTTAAATGCCGTTGAGTTGGTTCCAATACATAGCGACCCTGTATAGGATTTCTGAGAAGCAGCTGTTGGGTTTGAACCACTGACCTTGTGTTTAGCAGTCCATTGCTTATCCTGTAGCACAGCACCAGGACTCAAGCTTTAGGAAATGATAATGACAACACCGATGGCATGAAACAGTGCTCACCAGGCACTGTTTGGGCATGGACCTAGAATTTAGATTACTAATGTTTACACAACACATAAATGATGCTAGCTTTTGTAACCTTTTTTTATATTACAGAATCTGATGACCAAAATTATAGAGTGGAAGCTGTACATGCATTGGTGCACAAATTACCTGAAAAAAACCGAGAGATGCTGGACATCTTAATAAAGCACCTGGTCAAGTAATTCTCTAATTTGTTTTACAAAACATTTTTGAAACTTGCTTTGTAGCTTACCATATGATCTATTCTGGAGAATGTTTCATGTGTACTGGAAAAGAATATATATTGTGCTGCTGTTGGAGAGAGTGCTCAGTATATGTTTATGAGGTCAAGTTGGCTGATTGTGTTTAGATTTTTTTCAGTTTCTTTCTAATTTTCTGTCCTTCATTGAAAGTGGTATGTCTCCTGTTAACTGTTGAGTTGTCTATTTTTCCCTTCAGTTCTGTTAGAGTTTGATGTATTTTGAGGCTCTTTCATTGGATGTACTGGTGTGGCACTGTGGGCTAATGCGTCAGACTGCAAAGTCATTTGAACTGCAAGGTCGGAGGTTCAAACTCACCAGGTGCTCCTTGGAAACCCTATACAGGGTTGCTATGGGTTGGAATTGACTCAACAGCACTTAACAACAACAACAGCACCTTCCTTGTCTCTTATATTGGTTTTGTTTTATAATCTATTTTATCAGAAATTAATTTGCCACTCCTGGTTTTCTATTGCCATTAGCTTGTCCCCCCACCCCTACCCCATCCTTTGATTTTTAGTCTGTTTTTATCTTTGTGTCTAAGATATGTCTCTTTTAGACAACATATTGATGGATCCTGTTTCTTATCCATTTTTCTATTTTCTTTCTCTGACTGATGCATTTAATCCATATCTATCTAGTGTAATTTTCAATAGGCATGAATGTATTGCTTTGTTATTCTCTAGTTTATATTGTTTATTTTACCACGTTGTTCATCTGTTAAGATTAAGCTTGCTCATGTCTTTTCAAAATGTATTTTGATGCTGTAACCTTGCTGTTATAATTAAGAGTTCATTGAATGTGCTTTAAAAATGATGTGGTGTAATGCATTTTAAAAATATAGCTGTATATATGTGTATTTGTCCATATTTGTCTATTGATATCCGTGGTAGTTTTGAAATTTAAATGTCAACTGTACCAAGGAACTCATAGTATTTTCCAAATTCTTGTAGGTGCATTGTAAGCCGTAAGTTTAGAGACCAGTGCTTTATGCTTTTAGGGTCATCAGAATCCCCCAGGTCAAACTAGCCCCTCCAACTGTACTTCTTCCTCTGGAGTCACAATTTCTTCTGGTGTCGGAAGTTTTTTCTCACTCTTCTGCTTTGTCTCCTCATGGAAAGGTAACTAGAGAGAGACACAGACAAGACGGAAGGTTGGTCTCTCATTTGTTTTTCAATCTGTTTCTAAATTGAGAGATTGAGAGAGACATAAACATGCAAAGGTACACATACAAGCACTTAATCCAAAAGCTGGTTTGCCATGTTGCTGGAAACAGAAGTCCAAGTTCAGATTTTAAACTTGAGTTTCCTTATAGCCACACTTACTGTTAAGGACATTTTTCATTTTAATGATTCTTATGATTCACAGTCAAATGAGACTAATACTTTTTTTGCTACAAGTATTAACCCAGTTTGTATTAAATTATGTCATGCACTTTTGAAATAGTGCTACATAAACATAATAGTAAATTTCATCTTACTTGCAAATTTTGAAATAATACGAACCCATCCCCCACTTAAATTAAATGGAAACCCATTAGGAATAGCATCATTTAAAATCCATTGTTAATTATTGCTCCATGGCACCAACTTTTTAGCTAATGATCAAAGATTCACACACCTTGGTCTGGATTTGTCTTGAATTAAAATTTTTTTAATTGTGTGAGATCTTTATGACATTTAACAACACCATATTTATTGGGTATTATCTTGCTGATCTTCAAGTTAATTTTCGAGTGAAGCCTCTTTAAATGGCTTTTTATACCTTTTTTTAAAAGGTATATAAAAGATCTATAGTAGCGTAGTGGTTACGAGTCAGGCTCCTAGCCTCAGGGTCAGCAGTTCAAAACTACCAGCTGTTCCATGGGAGAACGATGAGGCTTTTTGCTCCCGTAAAGATTTATAGCCCCGGAAACCCTATACAGGGTTGCTATAAGTCGGAACTGATTCTACAGCACATAATCACAACCACCAGCAAACATTATATAAAATGTCTTTGCTAAAGCTTCCAGAATGTTCGATGAAGACAAGCTGTAATGAGAATGTGTGGAGAGCTATCAGCGCAGAGTATCTGTCCACTAAAGAAGGCTTGAAATGCTTTTGCCCATCCTCTACTAATCTTGGCCCCTTCCTTGAACCTTCAAATAGTCGAGCCCCAGTGATGGAGCAATGACTATGAAGTATCATTTCTTTAAAAAATATTTTTTTTCTAATCACTTTTGGGGGGAACTTGTCTATACATTAGTTTGGGATACCCTTATTGATGCGTAGAAATATACATAATCTTGTGTTGTGCTCTTTCCTAAAATTGTATGTTCTAACAATTTGATTCTACTTATCATGTGATTCTGCTGGGACTGTGTAAAAAGCAATGGTTAAAGCTAGAAGGGTGGTCAAAAGGACAGGGTTTTCTCTTACAAATTCCTGGATTAAATGAGTTAAGTCAGTGAAAGAATCTTGGTAGGTGCTAGGATTACTTTGCTCAGGGGGAGTATAGTAAAAACTTTTCCTTTTCAATCCAGCCGGGATGCGGCTACACCTCTTTATCTTCTGTGTTGCTTAGCACTGTTGCCAAGTGCTTAGCAGTAGGCAAGTACTCAAGGAAATGTTGGATGAGTCAATGGATAGATGAATGGAAGATTGTGTTGAAAGTAATCTATCTGAAGACTTGAGGAAACTCCCTTGACTTGTTCCTGTCAGATCTGAGTTGAAGCAGAAACCCTGTCCCTAATTTGTTGTACCTCAAGCTTCTAGCTTTTTATCTGTAAAATAGGAGTAACTGACCTACTGAAAAGACTAACTACAATACTACTATGAAAACGCCCGATAGTAGGTACTCAATGTGTTTTTGGCAAATGTGAATAAATATTCAACCAGTCTTTTCAACCATCTGTTCTAAATGAAGTTGTTGTTGTTGTTCAGTACCGTGGAGTCAGTTCCAACTCATAGTGACCCTGCACAGGGTTTCCAAGACTTTAAATCTTTACGGGAGCAGAACACCTCATGTTTCTCCTGCAGAGCCACTGGTAGTTTCGAACTGCTCACCATGAGGTTGGCAGCCTGGCTCGTAACCACTATGCTACCAGAGGTCCTTCTAATAGCTGTACCCCCCAAAAAAAAAAAATCCCACTACCATCAAGTTGATTGTGACTCAGCCTCAAAAGCCCTATATAGCGTTCCCAAGACCGTAAATATTTACAGGAGTAGACAGCTTCATCTTTCCCCTGCAGAGTATCTGGTGGGTTTAAACTGCGAGCCTTGTGGGGAGCTGTCCAGTGTTTATATTCTACAGATCACCAGGCCTCCCTAATAGAAGTATAGCACAATGGCCTCCCTAATAGAAGTATAGCACAATGTACTCAATAGAATGCATAAATCATCGAATGATATCATTACTAACCACATGAAAGTAAAATTTTGCTTAAGATAACTCAAAAATGGCTGCAACAGTATATTGACAGTGAACTGCCAGAGGTTCAAGTCAGATTCAGAAAAAGATGTGAAATGAGGGATATCATTGCTGACATCAGATGGATCTTAGGCTGAAAGCAGAGAATGCCAGAAAAATGTTTATCTGTGCTTTATTGATCGTGCAAAGGCTTTCCATTGTGTGAATCATGACAAGCTGTGGACAACATTGTGAACAATGGGTATTACAGAACACTTAATTGTGCTCATAAGGAACCTGTACATAGACCAATAGGCAATCATTCAAACAGAAAAGGGGGACACTGAATGGTTTAAAATCAGGAAAGATGTGTATCAGGGTTTTATTCTTTCATCATACTTATTCAATCTGTATGTTCAGCAAATCATCTCAGAAGATATATTATATGAAGAAGAGCTTTGCATCAGGATTGGAAGAAGACTTATTAACAACCTGCTATATGCAGCTGATACAACCTTGCTTGCTGAAAGCAGAGAAGATTTAAAATATTTACTGGTGAAGATCAAAGACCGCAGACTCAGAATGGGTTGCACCTCAATGTAAAGAAAACAAAAATCCTCACCACTGGACCAATAAATAACATCCTGTAAATGGAGAAAAGATTGAAGTCGTCAAAAACTTCATTTTGCTTAGATCCACTATCAACCCTCATGGAAGCAGTAGTCAAGAAATCAAACAACATATTGCATTAGGCAAATTTGCTGCCCAAGACCTCTTAAAAGGTGTTCAAGAGCAAAGATGTTGGTTTCAGGACTAGGACTAAGATATGCCTGACCCAAGCCATGGCATTTCAATCACCTCATATGCATGTGAAAATTGGACAACGAGTAAGGAAGACCCATAGAAGAACTGATGCATTTGAGTTATGGTGTTGGAAGAGAATATTAAAAGTACCTTGGATTTCAAGAAGAACTAGCAAATCTGTGTTGGAAGAAATACAGCCAGATTGCTCCTTATAAACAAGAATGATGAAACTTCATCGCTCATACTTCGGACATATTGTCAGGAGAGACCAGTCCCTGGAGAAGGACATCATGCTTGGTCAAGAGGAGAGTTGTAGAAAAAGAGGAAGACCTCCAACGAGATGGATTGACACAGTGGCAGCAGCAATGGACTCAAGCGTAACAGAGATTGTAAGGCTGGTGAAGGGCTGGACAGTGTTTAGTTCTGTTGTGCATAGTGTCACAATGAGTTGGAACCAACTCGACAGCACCTAACAATAACCATAGAAAATGCCAGATAGTTGGTAATCTATCTAGGGTAATTGTCCTCGATTTAGGAAATCAAGAACATTTACTCCAATATATTGAATTTTGGCATATGTTTTACTTAGATTATTTTTAACTGTTTCCATATTTTTAGGCCATATCTGCTAATGCCAAATGGCATGGGGAGTGGTAACTCAAATTGACACTTATGGAAAAATTAGCCTCTACTGGCATACTTTACATTTTCTTAATGTCACAGATTTGGTAGATGACAGTATTTATACTTGTTACATGTTAAAGTTAAGACACTATTTTTGCTGCTTACTTGCAGAGTATCACTACATAGTCAACAAAATCTAATGACTGTCTCAAACCTTGGTGTCATATTTGGCCCAACTCTAATGAGAGCACAAGAAGAAACTGTGGCTGCCATGATGAATATTAAGTTTCAGAATATAGTGGTTGAAATCCTGATTGAACACTATGAAAAGGTAGGCTGACTTTTCATAGAGCAGTGCCCAATTTTATATCTTACTTTTAAAGTGGAGGTTTGCATTTGTATCATCTACATGTATGAGCTATTACATTGTGATTGGAAATTTCTATTGAAGTTAGTCTTATATAAGTTAGTTCTATGTGAGAATTTTGATTTTGTTTTTACTGGTTTTGTTTTTAAGTGTGTTTTTTGTTTTGTTTTAAAATCCTCCAGGTAGAGGATTTCCTTTTCTTGGACATCATTTATGTTTTAAAGAGTTTTTCTTTGGTAATTTATATAGTCAATTTACTATTTGCATTCGCAGAAGACTTTCAAATCATTTTAATCTTCTCTTTTTATGCTTCAGGAGTTGGCTTCTGAATTATGTAGTAGAAGTGATATTGTCAATAAAAGAAAAGAAAAAAATGACAGTGAGTGGAGTGTTGAGGTCTTCTCCATATCTATTCCCTAAGGAAAGTTTCTTTCAACGAGTAAGAATAGGAAGTAACTATTGCGAACCACAAGGACATCAGTTAGAAACTACCAGCTGTTTTGCGGGAGAAAGATGAGGCTTTCTGCTCCCGTAAAGATTTATAGCCTTGGAAACCCTGTACAGCGTTGCTATGAGTCAGAACCAACTCCACAGCACATAACAACAACAAATAGACTTGGAAAATTGTGCAAGTCAGGTTGACTGGAGCATTAAGCAAATGAGGCCATTTAGGATCTGACCATTTGTAATCTATTCATGATTGACCTAGTCCTTTTGAGTGATGGGTCTTTTCATTTCTTCCCTGGGTTTATTCTCTGTGCCTGCAGAAGAATGTTCTTAGTGCCTGTTGAAGGTCATAATCTCTCGCAACCCGAGGCACAAAGAACAGCTGCCTATTGTAGCTATGCTTAGATGTCTACTAACAGCTCACCGCCATCTTTGACAGCTCAGAGCCATCAGCATAATAGCACCTTCTTGGGGAAGTGATACAGGATGAGACTCTTCCCTTAAGGTTATGGTCCTCAGTGCATGAAGGGGCAAAGAGAGCATTACAATAAAAAGAACCTAATGCATTTTGACTTGCACATCTGTTGCCTTACAATTATTCAGAAATACTTTGAATTTCACTGTTGAGGGGTGGTGTCAGAGAATTAAAAAGGGGGGAGGGGAACCCAGAGAAGAAATATTGCTGACTATTAATGGAAAATAAAATTATAATTGCTCTAAGATATTTATTTTTCTATGTCAAGTATCTCTTGGTGTGCAGCAGAGCAAGTTGCATCTAGTTAGATTATTCAATAACCTAAAAGGTTTATTTTAAGATGATGCTGGCAATTTCCCCTTTTCTTGACCTTGTTCATTTTTCTTCTGTGTAGATTTTCCATTCTGCCCCAGACCCAAGCATTCCTCTTCCTCAACCCCAGTCACGATCTGGGTCCCGGAGGACACGTGCAATCTGCCTCTCTACAGGTTCTCGGAAACCCAGAGGGAGGTATACTCCATGCTTGGCTGAACCAGACAGTAAGTATGCCTGATCTTAGACAGATGCTTTCTTCATTCTTTCATTCAATCTTGCCTCACTTTATTGGTAATTAGGTAGAAATAGAAGATGTTCTCAATGATCTTCTCTTCCCAACCATCCCTTCCCCATTTATTTTTTTATTTTTTATTTTTGTCAGGATACTTGCAAGGTTCCTTGGGCAAGCAAATTCATTATTGCTACAGAGGAAAAGGATGGTTTTCTCAATGCACTTTTTTTCTGCAGCTGTGATTAAGTACACCGGGTACTAATTTGTAGTAGGTTTTGTCCTGTTGTGGAAGTAGTAGAGAAGAAAGCAAGAGAAAGTCTAGCTGAAGCAGTTATTTTCTTCTGTCCTTTCACATTATGTTCTTAAACCATCATCTCTTGGGTATCAGAGGAAAGAAATAAAAAGCAAAGTTATGCCACATATTATCACTAAGGCAGCCCCAAGGTACTGTGGGTAGTAACCTGAGTCCATGACATGTAATAAACTGTGGCCATTCTCATTTTAAGTCCCTCAAGTCCCCAACTTTCTCTCCCCCACAGTCAATATGTAATAAAAACAATACATACTTTTTTAAGTGAGATATATTTTACAGTATACTTTATTATTACAGATTCTTTTCTTTTTTCTTATACTTTTTTCAAGAACATTAAAAAAATAAATTCAGTTATTTAGTGAGCTTCTTACTTGCTATATTTTCAGGGAAACAAGGGAAAAAGTGCTCTCTTTGAAAACTGTGAGCAGCTTCTAATATGTTACTGCCATTTAATGGTACCTTTGAATAAAGGGAATTCATGTGCATTGTAATTTAGAATCAGTGAAGATCAGAAAAATAAAAGAAGGCAGAAATATGTCTTTAATATCTCTCCTACTGTTGATTTTTCTTTTGGTGAAAATATATATAGATATACAGCATTTCAGCAATGTCTTCATTTACAACTTGGTGATACTGGTTACACTTTTCAAGTTGTATATCTGTTCACACCATCCTTCTCTAAATTGTTTTGCTCTTACTTTTCTGTCTTGTTTCAGAAGCAAATATCGGTCAGAATTCATGTCAATCCACGAATGCTTCAAGAAGTCAAGTTATTGCAAAAGGGCAGAGCAGATCTAAAAATCTTTCTAGATTATTCCATTTACCATATCCTAATACGTATTTTAAAGCCTTTCTCCAGTACTGAGGACAGTTCGTTCTCCATACCAAATAAGACCTGTCACATCACTAAGTCAGGTGGCCGCCGAGGAACATGTTGGAAATCACTTTAGGGAGTGGCTGTTCTCAACAGACAGCAACTGTTGGCTTTTCTCTCTCCCTGTCCTGCTCCTCCTTAGGTGACTCTTACAGCAGCAGCCCTGACAGTACACCTATGGGCAGCATCGAATCCCTCTCCTCGCACTCATCTGAACAAAACAGCACTCCGAAATCTGCAGCCTGCCAGCCCAGGGAGAAATCTGGTGGGATTCCCTGGATTGCGTCCCCATCACCTGCCAACGGACAGAAAAGCCTTGGTCTCTGGACTACTAGTCCTGAATCAAGTTCTAGAGAAGACGCAACCAAAACGGATGCTGAATCAGATTGCCAGAGTGTAGCCTCAATCACTAGCCCAGGGGATGTGTCCCCACCAATAGACCTGGTCAAGAAAGGGCCTTATGGACTGTCAGGACTGAAAAGATCCTCAGCTTCATCCCTGAGATCCATCCCTGCAGCTGAAGGTAAGCCAACATGAAGCTTATGCAAGACGTATTGTCTTGGTGTCACTGGCTTGATTTTTCAGCATGACTAAGCAGGAAAAAAAGTTAAATGGTGAAGGAACTATCGATGCTTATCTGCTTTGTTCCTGAGCTTGTATTTCTAAAACTCCTGTGCGCTATGACTTTTTACCTGGATCGCTCCATCTCTGTTAGGTGATGTCTTTGTAATTACTGTAGATTGTGATCTCCCTGAGTGATGGGCTGCTATGTTCAAAGAACATTCTGTACCTTCCATTTGGGCTCAGAGAAAAATGCTTCCCTTTTGTTATGCACATGTACTATGTTATTGCCTTTATTTTGTCTAATAGCACTTTGCCTGTTTTCTTGGGCTTTCTTTTTAGGAAACAAGAGCTACAGTGGATCCATTCAAAGCTTAACTTCCATAAGTTCCAAAGAGATACCCAAAACCCCACCAAACCCAGACCTGCCTCCAAAAATGTGCAGGAGGTTAAGGTTAGACACCACTTCAAGCAATGGCTATCAGCGACCTGGCTCAGTGTAAGTGAGAAAGTATTTGGAATTGCTGTGCTCCCGGTTATAAGCAGGTGAGCTGTGCTCACAGGAGCCATTGGCAGCCCCTGCGTGTCTCATTGGTAGATACCATTTTTGTAGGACCTTGTCCCTACCTAAAAATGATGTGGAAATTTGAGTAGGTTTAGGATGTGTTAACAGTTTCATGCAAGTACTTTCCTTAGAAGAAACAGCTGTGACTTAATTTGTTGTTATTGTTAAGTGCTGTCAAGTTAGTTCTGATCCATAGTAACTTGTATAGGGTTTCGAGGTGAGTTTGAACCACTGACGTTGCAGTTCAAACGACCTTGCAGTCCAGTGCATTAATCAACAGCTCCACACTAGGACTCCATGGCTTAATTTTTTTTTTTTTAAACAATCTTTTATTCTTCCATTGAAGAAAGAGGTAGTAAGGTCCAATTATATATCAGGCACTGAACTGGGAACTGGGTTGATTTGAGCCCTGTACTTCAAGAATCTGTTACTAGAATCATTAAATAAGTAGTTGTAAGTGAACTAAGAGTCCAGAAAGGACAAAAACTAAACCTATTTCCCTCCATTCAATTCGGACTCATAGTGACCCTTTAGGAGAGACTACAACTGCCCTACATGTAGGGTTTCCAAGGTTGTAATCTTTACAGACACAGACAGCCAGAGCTTTCTCCCATGGGATGGCTGGTGAGTTTGAACTACTGCCCTTTTGTTTAGAAGCAAACACTTAACCACTGTACCACCAGGATGTGTTAGAGGAAAGATTGTTATTGTTGTTGTAACGTGCTGTTGACTCAGTTCTGACTCATACCGAGCCTGTATAGGGTTTCCAAGTAGCAGCTGGTAAGACTGAACCACTGAACTTGAGGTTCAAACCAACCTTACAGACAGACATATTAACACACAGTGTCCATGGCTTAATTTAAGGACTCAATATTGTTTTTGTTGTGAGCCACCAAGTCAGTTCCAATACATAGGGATATCCTGTATTGGGTTGCCAAGAGTAACTGTTGGGTTTGAACTGCCAACCTTGCGATTTCCAGTCTAGTGCTTGAACTATAGCACAACATCCACCAGGTCTCAAGGACATGATGTTGTTGTTGTTGTTATGTGCCATGGAGTTGATTCTGACCCATAGCGACCCTGTACCAGGTTTCTGAGGCTGTTCATCTTTATGGGAACAGAAAGCCTCATCTTTCTCCCGTGGAACAGCTGGTAGTTTCGAACTGCTGACCCTGAGGTTAGCAGCCTGATTTGTAACCACTACGCTACCAGAGCTCCTTCAAGGACATGATGGTGTTGTTGTTGTTAAGTGCCGTCGAGTTGAGTCAGACCCTTAGCAACCCTGTTTAGGGTTTCCAAGGAACAGCTAGTTAGCTTGAACCACCAATGTTGCAGTTCAAATGACTTTGCAGTCTGATGCATTAGCCCACAGTGCCACACAAGGACATGATACTAATGTATTAATGAGTGGCTATAGATTTAGAAACTAGGAGCCTTCCTATAAAAGCTGAATATCTACCTCTCAGGGAAAGAGACCACCGTGCAGTGCAGCTAGGTCCAGATCCCAGCTCTCTTCTCATTACCCAGCCTAGCCAGGCACAGTTGTTAAATATATAACCACTCTCTAGCGTGTGTGAGTTGACTTTCTCTCCTCCCGATCTTTTGTCACCTTACCTGAATACTAACTGAATTAGGGCAAGAAAATTGAAAATTACGTTGGTGATAAAAATGCCAGGAAAGTTGTGTTGAGGAATTTTTTCCCATCTTGGCAATGCAATTGTTCATTCTTTGAGGGTAGACATAGCACAGAATTCTTCAGGGACGAAAGATGGAAATACTCCCTTCAGAAGTGTGGAGACCTAGATGGAGAATATGTTGAAAAATAGCAGCTTCACATTTTGATATTTTTGCTTAATAAAGGTTTCTGTGATTTTGTAATAATACTTCCTGATTTACCCACCTGTACTCAGCTAGTAAGTGGCACACTTGTGTTTCTAAACGAAGGTACTCTAACTAGAATTCTGTGTCATTCTTCTTATCCACGGCCTTTTGAATATTGATATCCCGGCCATTTTGAGTATTCATTAAAAGTCCAGTAAGATTTTATTCAGCCTGTTTCCATAAGAACAGTGTCCTAAATTCATTCTTTAATCCTTTTCTCTGACAAGAGCTTTTTGGTTTCAAAGTATTCAACGTAGGCTGTCTTGGTCAGAAAGCAGAGTATTGTGATACAAACAAATATATTTGTATATCTGTCTGTTCCTCCATGTGTGTAGTTCTAGCCATTAAGAAAATTACATTTAATCCAATATATCAGAGCAGATGGAAGAATATAAACCCCACCATTTGGAAACGTGAAGTATTTGTGTTTTGTGATTTTACTAATAGTTCAAGTAGAATTAAAACAAGGATGTGTATGTTCATTGTTGTTGGTAGGTGCCATCCGGTTTTGACCCCATGTGATTCCTATAGTAGGGTTTCTTAAGGAAGTAATCTTTACAGTAGCAAATTATCAATTCTTTCTCACGTGGATTTCCTGGGTGAGTTCAAACCACAAATGAACCTTTAGGTTAGCAGCTGAGCACTTAACCATTGCACCCAAAGGCTCCTTATGTGTGCAGTGATGGTGTAAAAATGATCTTTAAGATTTTTCAAAGGGCTTGTCTTTCCCTGGGGAAAAAAGTTTGGCCATTAAAGAAAATGATACATTTTTTAAGGTCGAGGTTAAGGAATTTGGCATTCTCTTCTAGTAAACATAGAAATTGTTCTAATTAACTAGGGTTGTTGTTGTTCTTGTTATGTGCCGTGGAATCGGTTCCGACTCACAGCAACCCTGTACAGGGTTTCCGAGGCTGTAAATCTTTACGGGAGCAGAAAGCCTCATCTTTTTCCTGCGGAACAACTGGTAGTTTTGAACTGCTGACCATGAGATTAGCAGCCTGATTCGTAATCACTACGCTACCAGAGCTCAGCTAATTAACTAGGGTACCTTGGCATTAATTGTGTACTCTGTTCCCTATAACGTCACCTCTTCTGATAGTACATGCCTTTTTTTTTTCCCTCCATGATTTTAAACGAGATTTGGATTAATGAACTTATTTATTGGCCATATTTTCATCGTTCTTCCTTGTTATTTTAGAAGAACTGTGTTCAACTATAAAAGTGCATGGCATAATTTTCTTCTTCACTCTAGCTATGAGCTTGAAGGCAAATCTTCTTTGTCACTTTGTGTTTGATTCTTTGATTTTTTTCCCTTGTGGCTGCACAAGACTCAATAGCATGCTGCTGAGAGCACAATAGGGAGAAAATGTTCTTTTTACTACTCGCACTGTTTTCTGAGGTAGACAGGATGAGGACAGTAAGCTCCACATGGGATGGTAGCGACAGGCTCATTACAGTCTGATATCCTGTGAGCTGGAAACTAGAGTTAAATCTCTTCCACATAAGAATCTCTTAAAACCATTAAAAATCAGGTCTAATTTTGGCAAAGGGTTTTAATGAATCAAGTTTTTGTTTTGTTTAGCTGATAACCATGAATTTTGCCCTGAGCTAAATGGTTTTCTGACTGATTTAATGAAACTTGAATTTTTAAAATTATTTTTTTTTTCAGAGTGGCAGAAAAAGCCCAGCTGTTTGAAAACGTTGGTTCAATTAAGCCAGTTTCTTCTGGGCGGTAAGTTCCCAAAATCTCAAGTGAATTTAAAAAATAAATAGCTGTGACATTGTTGACTTGACCTGGCAAGTTGCCTTTGACAGTTATGCTGATGGTCAGATACACATACCCTGACTCTCACGTGTTATTTTCTGGAGAGAACATCATGTCTGTAAGCTACATTTAGATTCTCAGGTTAGCATCAGGACTATCTCATCTTTTCTAAAAGACCAAAGTTATGTTAACACTTTGCATTTTTTGGGTAATATTCAAAAGGATGCATTCATAACTTTAATAAGTCATTTAATTTTTTTCTTGAATCATTTTCATGAATATCAGTTCAAAATTATAGCTATTCTTTTTTAAAACTTTTTTTATTGTAGTTTGGTTGAACATTTACAGAGCAAACTGGTTATCCATTCAATAATTCATGCACATTTTGTCTTGTGACATTGATTGCAAAACTCCTTTAAATGAAATAGTACTTCTCCCCTGAGTTCCCTTCTTTCCTGCCTTTGGAGCTTGATTTGGGGCACATGCTGCCGTTTTCATCTCTATGGTTGTTTGCACTGAGAAGAGCATTCCTCCCTGGGGTCATTATTCACTTTATAGGCCTATCTGTTGTTGGACTGAAAGGTGAGCCCAAGTTCCAAACTTGAAAGGTGTCTAAGGGCCACAGTCTCAAAGTTTCCATAAGTCAGAGAAGTAAGTCTAGTTTATTATATGATTTTGAATTTTGTTCTACTTTTTCTGTCTCCCACTGTGTCCAGGCCCTTCTGTTGTGATATGATCAGAGTGGTTCACAGTGGTAGATGGACACCATCTAGTTCTTGTAGTTTTAGGGTAGTAGAAATTGTGGGTTATGTGATTCCTTAGTCCTCTGGACTAATTCCTACCTTAAGTCTTTGATTCTCTTCACTTTTCTTTGTTCTAGATGGGGAGAAACCAAAACCGCATTTTAGATGGCCACTAGCAAGCTTTGTTTTTAAATTTTGTTTTAATTTTAAAACATTTTATTGAGGTAAAATTTACATCATATAAAATTAACCATTTTAAAGCAAACAATTTTGTGGCATTTAATACAGTCACAATGTTGTGAAACTACTACGTCTATCTAGTTCCAGAATATTTCCATAACATCCATCAAAAACAATCCCCATCCCCACTAAGTAGGCACTCCTCATTCCTGTTGCTTTTCCCTTCCCACCAATTCTCTGCAACCACCAATCTACCATCTGTTTCCATGGGTTTACCTATTCTGGATACTTCATGTAAATGGAGGCTTATAAAATGTGTCCTTTTGTGCCTGTCTTCTTTCACTTAGTGTGAAGTTTTTGAGGTTCATCCTCATTGTAGCACATACCAGTACCTCATTCCTTTTTATGGGTATATGCATATTATCCTATTGTATGTCTATACCACAATTTGTCTATCCATTTATCTCTTGATGAAGATTTGGGCTTTTTCCACTTTTTTCATAATGTGAATGGTGCTGCTATAACATGTGAGTGGGGAGCGTGGTGACCATAGGATAAGCACTGAACTGTGAACCACAGGTGGGTGGTTAGAGCCCACCAGCCTCTCCACAGGAGAAAGAGGAGGTTCTCTTCTGTTTCAAAGGTTCATGGCCTCAGAAAGGTTGACATGAGTAGGAACCTACTTCATGGCGCTAGCAAGTTTTTAAGACTCCAGTCTTAAAAGTAGGATGTGGAACGTTGTCTTTATGGATTATGTTATGCCAATTGACCTAGATGTCCTCAAAGACTATGATCCTAAGTCCCCAAGTCCAGCAACTCATTACCCCAAGGCATTTGGGTATGGCTAATACGTTTTTAGAAGTTTGACTCCTATATGCTCTACTGTGTCACTGGATATATTTGCAGCACATACAAATACATACATAGAAATATCCTCTGCGAAATCTATATATGAAGTCCTGGTGTGATGCTGTGGATTAATGTACCAGACTGCAAAGTTGTTTGAACTGTAAGATCAGCAGTTCAAGCTGCTGCTTGGAAACCCTATGCAGGGTCGGTATGGGTAGGAACCGACTCAGCAGCACTTAACAGCAACAACAACAAACTTATGTATAGGACTCTTGGTATGGTGTTGTAGGATCAGCACTGGACTGCAAACCACAAGGTCAGCAGTTCAAACCCACTAGCTGCTCTTTGGAAACCCAACACAGGGTCACTTTGAGTTGGAACTGACTCGACAGTACTTAACAACTTACAAGAAAACCTATATATACTGGTGGGTGTACTTCCATTCACCTTTCCATATCTGTTCAGCTTGAATGCCTGTTACATATCTACCTATGATATTGCAGATATTGTTTTTTTTACTAGTATTGCAGGGTTGTGTGTGTAATAGTATCTGCATTCGTTGTCTTTTACTTGTGTGCACCTCTTAGTGTTTTCCTTTGCCTTGGTCTTGTCATAGTGCCCTCACCCTTATTATATATTGCCTTGCCTTTTACCCAAGCTAATATATGTCTACTCACCAGCTGTTCCTTGGAAACCTTAAATTGGGTAGCTGTGAGTCGGAACCAACTCGACAGGACTTAACCATAGCAAATTATCTAATTAGTGATTTACTCTCCTTTTCTCTGTCATACCAAGTAACTAACAAAAAATGTTTCTTTGTAAACCTTGTCTTGACTTTTCATAGTTGTTGCTGTTGTTATGTGCTGTGGAGTCGGTTCCAACTCATAGCGATCCTGTACAGGGTTTCCGAGGCTATAAATCTTTAAGGGAGCAGAAAGCCTCATCTTTCTCCCATGGAACAGCTGGTAGTTTCGAACTGCTGATCTTGCGGTTCACAGTCCACTTAGTAGCCACTACGCTACCAGAGCTCCTTTTTTATAGTAGTGGTCTTATATAATATCTGTCCTTATGTGATTGACAAATTTCACTCCGCATAATGTCCTCCAGGTTCATCCATGTTAATGAGGGGTTACTCGGATTCTTTGTTACTCTTTAATGTTGCATAGTATTCTATTGAATGTATGGACCATCGTTCATTTGCCATTTCATCCTTTAATGGCCACTTAGGTTGTTTCCATCTTTTTGCCATTGTGAATCATGCTGTGATGAACAGCGATGTGCATATATCTAGTTGTGTCACAACTCTTTTCTAATATATGCCATTAATTCACAGTCCTGGTGTGGCGCTGTGGGTTAATGCACCAGACTGCAAAGTTGTTTGAACTGCAAGGTCGGTAGTTCAAGCTCACCAGCTGCTCCTTGGAAACCCTGTACAGGGTCGCTATGGGTCAGAATCGATTCGATGGTACTTCACAACAACAACAATACCAGTAATAGGATTGCTGGATCATACAGTGTTTCTATTTCAAATTGTTTAAGGAAGCACAATGTTGTTTTCCACAGTGGTTGTACCATTTTACACATTTGTCAGCAGTTTAAGAGAGTTCCAATCTCTCCACAAAACTATGACTATTCTTAAGGACTGTTGAAGTGTGGTAGAGCTAATTGACTATACTACTTCATTCACTGGTTCCTGATTTTTACCTTCCGGTCCCTTGTTAAAAGGATATGAGTTGTTACATCATGCTGCTATTATTGTACCTGCTTCTAAAGTTTCTGTTTTTCTCTTCTACAAATGAATACTTCTAAACTACAGTGGACTATGGTTTTTAATTTGAATGCATCTAAAGTAATGGAATTTTATAAGGATAGGTTTCTGTATCTCTCTCTCTTTTTTACTTCCATTGATGACAGATAGAAGGTATTCAGTAATTTTTTTTTCTTAAAAAAGCATATAAAAGATACCAAACCTTAATTTTTCCTTTAGATGTAGTGAAGAATTTTTAAGCCACAGATAAGCAAAGTATTACTGTATAGTTCTTTAAAAAATTATTGAATTCTATTATGTTTTTCAACTTTACAAAAGTATTTGGATTTATTATGGAAGTGTTTAGTTCACACCGACACAGTATTGGCCCATTACTAGGGTTAATGGTGGCCTTGAAACTCTTCTTGGTTTGCCCACAGCTAGTAAAGATCCTGTTCTGTTAGTTGGGTTTTGTGTTTTTGAACTACACAGTATATGGCTACTTTGACATCTTACTAGTACTAAGTTCAATGGTTCTTACTTACATAGCAGATTCCAAAGCTTTTGCCTGTCCCTTACCTCTGCTTTCAGCATCTCCTTCTGTTTTATCAAGAAAAAATTAAGCAGCCCGCATGTGAGAGCAAACACCATTTTTCTGAGTTTCTATCATTTTTTTAAACTTGAATGTAAGGGATTTAAGGAGTTCTGGTGTGATGCTGTAGGACAAACACAGAACTGTTAACCACAAGGTGGGCATTTCAAATCAACCAGCTGCTCCTCAGAAGCCCTATACAGGGTCTCTGTGAGTTGGAACCAACTCAGAATAGCAACAAAACAGCAAAAAATTAAGGAAGCCCTAGTGACTAGAGGAGCTCTGGTAGCGTAGTGGTTACGAATCGGGCTGTGAACCTGAAGGTCAGCAGTTCGAAACTACCAGCTGCTCCGCGGGAGAAAGATGAGGCGATCTGCTCCCGTAAAGATTTACAGCCTCGGAAACCCTATTCAGGGTCGCTATGGGTCGAAACCGACTCAACGGCACTTAACAACAACAACAGTGACTCAGTGATTAAACACCCAACTGCTCATCAGGAGTTGGTGGTTAGAACCTATGAAGAGTGCCCTTAGGAGAATGATCTGGTGACCTGCTACCGTAAATATTGTTTTAAAAGAGTGAAACCAAACACATTGCCATTCAGTCAGTCCCAACTCAGAGTTCAGCCTAGAGCTCTGTCTCCTGTAAGCTCTATGAGTCAACAATTGATTTCATCAGTACCTAACAATAACGCTTCTGGGAAGTATTTGTCCTTCAGTTCGGTTGAATTCATCCACTAGGTGGAGCCCTTTTATTAGGAAGGCCTAACGTGACTGAATTAAGAACTCAAATGTTATATTCAAAGAGGGAGTGCCATGGTGTTTTAAACAGACAACAAAACTTATTAATGAAGTAA